GATACACTCGCACCGTATTTGACTTTCACCCGTTCTACTATCTCTTTTGCTGTGGGAGTTTCAAGCGCACCGGCATACTCTTCCTTTAAGTAATCTCTAACCAACTTCGCAGAACCTTTTGTAGCTTTTTCTGATTCAGATACAGGTCTGCAACTATGAACGGGATTATGTGATCTTACACTAAAACGCGCGGAATTCTGAATCGCTGCGATGCGTAACTTCCAAGCACAGCCCGATTTATAAAACTTGCATCTTAATTCCCACAACTTCTTGTCAGATTTCACTGTAGCATAACCGAAACAAGCCTTAACTGCGCCTTTCCGTACATATTCCTGAGCTGCTTCCTTACTATCAAACTCATAACCAATACTTATATTCAATCCATCCGTAAAATTGAATACTGAAAGAGAAAACGATGTGTCCTCCACAGCTACCATAGCCAACTTATTCTCACCATCACCATCTTCGTCACCACAGTCAACTTTGTTGGTTCCACATGCCATATCAATTGCATGTCCCTCTTTTAAAATATTTGCATGTTCTTCATTCATTTCATCTTCTCCTCGAACAATAATATGCTCATCATCCGAATCATCTATAAGTTGTATCGTATTACTTGCACCTTTACTCTTGAAATCAGGACTCTGAATCATATTGTTATTATAACCTGCATAAAGCACAGCCCCATATGGTCCAACACCAATACCAACACCACTAACGGAATCCGGAATGTATTGCACAACAAATTCTTGTCCACATTGTCTTCTCAAATTTACTGTTTCAATCTCCACGTGAAGCATGCTTCTTCCTCCGTTTATTTTGTCCATGAGATAAATAAACACTTGCTTGTCATTCGATATGTATATCGGCTCACTGTTTCCTTTTATAATCGGTAGATAACTTAACTGGATATTTGCTTTATCTTTGTCCACCTTCATATCAGAATATAACTCATCAACAAGATGTTTGTATGTCAAATCTGTCGGAGGAAAAAGGAATATCACGCCCTTGGCATCTTTAACTTTTCCTTCCCATTCCACTATCGGCGGTAAAACCGTTATATCTGCAATGAACGATGGCAAGTTCCAATCACAACAATCAGGAACTGGATACACAGTCTCTTGGTAAGCCATGCGCCATGTTTCTCGCATGTAATATTCAGAACATAGATCGTATATCATATCGCCTTTTCCGATCATATGTGCTGCTGCAATTGCGTGACTACAAGGGTACCTATCCACGTCAAACATTTTGCAACCGCATGTTCTTTCTCCAAGATTAACAAAGTATCTTCTACCATTGTCATCCCTTACCTCAAACTCACCAGTAAAACAGTTCAGTTCTTGAACGTCAAACGTACATGCCTTCTCGTAACGTTCATGTAACTCTTTGTAAACAAATGGTGTTAACTTTTGAGATTCATCAGCACTACCTGCTTCCAACCTGTGCTTGTTGAACCATTCCACCGTCTTTCCAAGACAAATATCAAGTACACCTAGCAATGGATACTTTTTTGCCTTCTTCAGTACGGAGTTGATCGATTCAGCCCCATTGGTTGTTAACAAGTTGTACCTTTCACTCCTAAATTTACACCTTGCCCATTTCTCGGGTGCAAGTTCTTCCTTTTGCATGTACTCGGCCACTTTGGGATATCTACACATAATGACATATATTCACATTAGTTCATAAATAACACTAGTCAAACTGGTCACACCAGTCAATCACACGAATCACAAGAATTATACCTGCTCTTTAGATCATTGTACAGGTCTTCAAACTCATTGATCGTGTAGGCTGCTGCACATTTAAAGAATAATTTAGTGACGGTCTCACCATTTGAACCCTTTCTTCTTGTGCCTCTGTTAACATGCACTTTTAAATTCTGTGCTATGTGCCTTGCACAAAAGCCGTGTTGCGCTTGCTTGTATACATCTCTCACAGCTTTGATTATACTTTTATGTCGGTCAGATAACACAACTACATCAGGACCATCCGGTATTACTTCGCTTAACCTTGTCATAAACCACAACCATGAAGCATCTTTCTCTCTATCTATCACACCCCAAGCTAGAGGATATTGGTGATGATCACCATCTTGGGCGGTTGCCACGATCAATGCTCCCTTATATTCGCTCGTTAGAAATGTTGCATCAACAGCAACCACTTTCCGCATATATTTCCATCCTTTTATAGTTGCACCCAAGGCGATGAAGAGGTATTTGAAAGTTTTTTTATCATCTTCCAAATGAAGACTCACCATAGTCCCAGGATTTCTTTCCCTCAACATGTGCAACCAACCAGGAAGTCTACTATAATGTTCAACATGACTACCACGAATCTCATTTTCAGCACTATGCTTTCCTCTCAATGCCATCATATATGATACACTCGCACCGTATTTGACTTTCACCCGTTCTACTATCTCTTTTGCTGTGGGAGTTTCAAGCGCACCGGCATACTCTTCCTTTAAGTAATCTCTAACCAACTTCGCAGAACCTTTTGTAGCTTTTTCTGATTCAGATACAGGTCTGCAACTATGAACGGGATTATGTGATCTTACACTAAAACGCGCGGAATTCTGAATCGCTGCGATGCGTAACTTCCAAGCACAGCCCGATTTATAAAACTTGCATCTTAATTCCCACAACTTCTTGTCAGATTTCACTGTAGCATAACCGAAACAAGCCTTAACTGCGCCTTTCCGTACATATTCCTGAGCTGCTTCCTTACTATCAAACTCATAACCAATACTTATATTCAATCCATCCGTAAAATTGAATACTGAAAGAGAAAACGATGTGTCCTCCACAGCTACCATAGCCAACTTATTCTCACCATCACCATCTTCGTCACCACAGTCAACTTTGTTGGTTCCACATGCCATATCAATTGCATGTCCCTCTTTTAAAATATTTGCATGTTCTTCATTCATTTCATCTTCTCCTCGAACAATAATATGCTCATCATCCGAATCATCTATAAGTTGTATCGTATTACTTGCACCTTTACTCTTGAAATCAGGACTCTGAATCATATTGTTATTATAACCTGCATAAAGCACAGCCCCATATGGTCCAACACCAATACCAACACCACTAACGGAATCCGGAATGTATTGCACAACAAATTCTTGTCCACATTGTCTTCTCAAATTTACTGTTTCAATCTCCACGTGAAGCATGCTTCTTCCTCCGTTTATTTTGTCCATGAGATAAATAAACACTTGCTTGTCATTCGATATGTATATCGGCTCACTGTTTCCTTTTATAATCGGTAGATAACTTAACTGGATATTTGCTTTATCTTTGTCCACCTTCATATCAGAATATAACTCATCAACAAGATGTTTGTATGTCAAATCTGTCGGAGGAAAAAGGAATATCACGCCCTTGGCATCTTTAACTTTTCCTTCCCATTCATAATCCCCACTCGCATTTATTGTCCACTTGCCACTAGACTTATAATAAATAATCGTCATTTTTTCATCACATGCATCCATTATGCCTGTACAAAATAAACACAAAATGATAAAACTGGTTAGATAAATTTTACTAGTTTGACGAGTTTGACCAGTTTGACCAGATTAGGGAGTATGACCGGTTTGACGAGTCTGACCATTTCTACGAGTTGGACCAGTTGGACGAATATGACTAGTTTCATCAATTTGACGAATTAATTTGGTCAGTTTAACTGATATATATGTTACATTTCACTCATATATATCATATGTATCAAATATTAACACGAAAAACTATAAACCCTAAATGCCCAAAATATATGTCGGATTAAAAAAAAAGACTTACCTATTAACGAGATCTACGCTTGTTGGATGAGATTCTTGGAGATTTCAGTTGCTTTTACAGTAAATTTGCCCACAAAAATGCGCTGGAGAAGAGAAGCTCGAACAGAGAGAAGGAGAGAGAGAATGAGAGAAATTGAAGAGAGAGAACGCGATGTCGAAGCCAGGCGGGAAACAACGACAATGAAGAGAGAGAAAACGGAAAAGTAGATCTCTATTTATTTATTTTTATATATTATAAAAATAATATTATTACATACCATTTTCTATAAAAAAAAATATTCTGTATCAAAATATTGAATTGAGTATTTTATTTCTATATTTTGTTTGAAATTACTATAAGAGAAAGATTGAAGATATAATCACTTTGAATGGATGCTGAGTTTATGACTAAAACGAATTGACGGTCATGACAGAATCCATATGTATATCTTGCTTGATAGAAAACGATAGATTGAAAAGTGGGTCCATGAATTTATCTTGCTAGTTATAAGATCATGCCATGATAAAAACTATATAGTATACTTTTATAGAAGAAATTGCATATCACGTTCACGTAAATCCCTATCATACTTTAACGAGGACTTGGTCCAGTTTTCTATCAATTCGTGTGTTAAAAAAAAAGACTTACCTATTAACGAGATCTACGCTTGTTGGATGAGATTCTTGGAGATTTCAGTTGCTTTTACAGTAAATTTGCCCACAAAAATGCGCTGGAGAAGAGAAGCTCGAACAGAGAGAAGGAGAGAGAGAATGAGAGAAATTGAAGAGAGAGAACGCGATGTCGAAGCCAGGCGGGAAACAACGGCAATGAAGAGAGAGAAAACGGAAAAGTAGATCTCTATTTATTTATTTTTATATATTATAATTATATAAATAATTAAAGGGTATTATTGAGAATCTACATTTATAAGGGTACGAGTGATGTTGGCGTTTTTTTTTTTTTCTGAGGAAGGGGATCACTTGAAGTGAGATGTATCATTTAAGGGCATTTCTGCAATTGCCCCGGTTCGAAACGCGTTCGAACCCTAAGATATCAGGCGGGAAAGTAAGTAGAGACGTCTCGCCGGAGAAGGTGGAGGAAGATTTCCGACTTCGAATGCTGAGATGGCTAACAAGCTTATTGTGGAGATGGGCCTTCACAAATCGATTGCTAACAAATTTGCCGCTCGAAACATCGTAACTGCCAAGGTATCATCAGCGGCGTCGGTCGCTCGGTCGGTCTTCGCGTGATTCGTGTGCTGTCGTTTTCAATGTCGGAATGTAACTTTAGTTTGTAGCTTTGTTCCGACGACTTGATGTGCAATTATTTCCCGTGGATTTTATGTTTCGTCATTTTGGCGGACAAGACCTTTCTAACTTTTTGCGTGCATGCCTCTATATCGTTGACTAGGGCTTCCATTTCTGTTTATGATTCGTAGAAATTCTGGCTAGTTAAGGTTTAATGTTTAATGGTGTTACTCAATTGTGAATTGCTAGGCAATTTTGTTAGGGTTTTGCTAGTTTGTTCTTTAGGGTTAGGATTGGGTGTTCCGGTATTAAAAATGAGAGATTCACAGGTTGTCGAAGAATTATTAGGACAGTGACTCTTAGATATATACTCTTGATCCAGGATGCGTTGTCGATGACAGAATTTGAGCTAATGGAGTTGCTGGATGTTGGATTGGCAGAGATAAGATCGTCGGTTGCACTCATCAGCGAAGCTGTTTCGCCACCGTGCCGATCTGTAAGCGCCTTTACATCGTGTCCTGTTCCTAGTCTCCCGAGTGTTCCGCTGCATATGGCCTGAGACATGCTATCTATTTGTTTAAAGGCTCGGTTCCTGCTGCAGCAAAAACTTGAAAATGAACACTTTTCAGGTCATCTTCCTACCCGTTTGAAGGGACTGGATGAAGCCTTATGCGGTGGAATACCTTTTGGCGTTTTAACAGAGTTAGTTGGCCCATCTGGTATCGGAAAATCACAGGTAGCTGCTGTATACCTTTTCCTTGTTCAGTTACATCTAGAGATTGGTGACACCAAAAATCGGCAGACACATCAACAGCGTCATAATGCTAGGATTAGAATTAGATATCATCTTGGTTCAGTGAATTTTGTCCCACAAATTGTTAGTGAGCCGTGTCTATATCTGTTCTGTAATTATGTACTCTGTGCATTCACTTTCAGAGTTTTACCATAAAAATCTTAGTATGTTTACGTACGACAACGGTTCTGTTCTGCTATGCAGTTTTGTATGAAACTAGCGCTATCAGCCTCATTGCCGACAAATTATGGAGGACTAGACGGCCAAGTGGTTTACATTGATGTGGAATCTAAATTCAGTTCAAGAAGGTAAATTGATTCTTGTTCCCATGGTATGTCTCATATGTTCTGGACTGATACTCAGCAGCGAGGTAGAATTGAAACATTTTTTCAGGATGATTGAGATTGGACTGAAAAGTTTCCCTGAAGTATTTCACCTCAAACGAATGGCACAAGAGGTTGTGGAAGGGTTATCAAGTTTATTCCATATTCATGTCTTTGATCTGGTAAAATTCTTACCATATTCGCCATCCCTTACCTAACCTTGCACAGAGCAGATGGCTGGAAGAATCCTTGTTTTGCGACCAACGTCATTGTCTGACTTCACTCAAAGGTCTGTAAAATATTAGCCTTTGCTTTGTCAGCGTAGTCTTGGAGGAAATATTGAAATGCACGCACTACTAAGAAAACTGCCAGTGTTATTGTTATAATGAAGCTGGCCCTCAATTTGGTCCTTGGCATTTAAATTGTAGTGACCAACCTTGAGCGGTTTTGATTTATAATTATATGCATATATAAGTATAATATCATCCGTAGATGTTTAAAGAATTAGCAAATATTAAGCTAGGAAATTTCACCATGCTGTAGTTATACATAGTTTCTTTAATGACCAGTATCCAGGAACTCAAGGTTTCACTCCTTCAAAATCAAGTGAAACTTCTAGTGATTGATAGTATGGCGGCTCTTCTTTCAGGGTTAGTCTAACTTTTTTTTTTCATTCTTATTCCCATTCTCCGATTAGTAACAAGTCTTTCTTTTTTGGGCTTTTATTCTTCTGATTCAATTCAAGTGGCTTCTTTTCAGTGAAAACGAGCCAGGAGCTCGGAGACAGCATCAGTTGGGTTGGCACATTTCTTTCTTAAAGTGTGAACTGCAGCCTCTTGTCAGCTCTGTCAGAAATTTATCATGAGATCATCTTCTCATCTGTTCTCATTGACACTAGTTCTCTGACGTCTTTAGATCGCTTGCTGAATTTTCTCGGATACCTGTTGTGGTGACAAATCAAGTTAGATCTCAAAACCGTGACGAAACTAGCCAGTATTCTTTCCAAGGTACAGGCACAAAGACTGGAAGCATATTTTGATACGATCAATTAAAACATTCACTTCTAGTTAATTCCCATTTAGCGATGATCATATTTTTGCCAGCTCAACAGGTGGATGGTTTTCGGGACCTCACGAGGACATACGATGCTCATCTCGTTGCTGCATTAGGTGTTAACTGGGCACATTCTGTGACCATCCGGCTGGTTCTTGAAGCCAATTCGGGTAAGTTTCACAATATCATGCAAAGGAAGTTGGAATCGAAGAGATTGAACACAATGTTTTTCCTCCTTTCACAGGTCAGAGAATGATCAAAGTTGCGAAGTCCCCCATGTCTCCACCACTTGCCTTCCCGTTCCATATAACATCGGCTGGGATTTCATTGCTGGTTGACGAAGGGACAGAACTGAAGGGACCAGAGATCAACACGATCCGTGCTCAAGGTGTGTGTTCGGTCCTTACGTACCTTTGATCCCTTTCGTTTCACTCCACATGTTCAGCCCTTTAGCACGACTCATTCATTTGGGATACATTTACTGATAATTTGAAATTCGGTGCAACCCTTAAAAATGATTTTGATGAGCATGCAGGACACGACGTCTGGAAGGGAGGCTCGGAATATGATTAAACGCACGAAAAAGGCAGAGAGGCATTTCGTGAGACAAGATTATGAACACAATATTGAAGCAGTGAAAGCTACAAAGCTTCACCACATTGTTTACGCTACCAAAAAAAATCAAACTATTTACGGAGATAACATATAGCTTGAATCGCTATTGCTCGTCTTGCTTGCTGCTTCCACTATCCTTGTTTCATGTTTTTGGTCATTTAGAAATGCTATTGAATGGTCTTCCCGAGTTTGTTGTTGCGTATGGTTCTGCTTCTGTAGCTGCTGCTGTTGTTGTTGCTGTCCGGACACTTTTTGTAAGAAGGAAATTATGGCTGTATCTTTAGCTGCGGAAGCAGATCTCTCGTGGGCAATTATTTCGTATTCTCTGTTGATTCTCGCCGTTTCTTGGACCCTCCATGCTTGCTCTCTCTCGATTCTCTCCTTCTCGCGCTTCTCCAATGTCTCCAAGAACCTCTTCTGCATTTCCTCTTGCTTCTCCATCAAATCATTCGTCAACCTCTTGAGTAATCCCTTCCAGTATCTCCTCCTCTTCCTCGGCCTCTTCCCCTCCTCCTCCTCCTCCTCCTCCTCGGAAGCGGTAGAAGAAGACGTCGAGCTCGAGAAAAGATTTAAGGACGGAACATTTCTTGCGAAATTATAAGGGTTCGTTAATTTATGACCAGAACCAAGTACTGTATGAGCACTGTGATTCAAAACAAAAGGCGGTGTAGGCTGTTGCTTGGTGAACAAGGTAGGGTTGGTACCACTTGATGGGTTGCTACTACTAATCCATGGAACAATGGAAGCAGCGGTGGTCGTGGTCGTGGTCGTAGGCGGTTTTACTGGTCGAGATTTCGGTTCGGTTGGATAGTGATGGATATTCTCGAAAGCTTCCAATTCGTCGGAGAACTGGTAGGTTTTGCCTTCGCGTTTACCGGACCGGCCTTCTTTGGTACGCTTGTGGTATTTATACACGTTCTCGAATTTCTCCTTGCATTTCTTGGCACTTCTCCTGAAACCAAGCTCCCTCATTTTCCTGATCATCGTTCATAAATAACCCATGAGACACGTATACATACGTACATAGATACATATGTATATGTATACATATATATATATATACGTATGATTTTCTAGGAATCTGTATGAAATAGTTGTTAGACAGATGCATTCATTATTATATTTGAACACAAAAGCCTTGGGGATGTGTTGACCCCAATAGGATTAATTGCCCAAAAACAGATTTCACAAGGAATATATACATATGTTCATAAACACATGATTATACTATATATATACGTATGGCATAGTAATTTAGACAATTATTATTCTTTTTAAAAAATTATTATGCTTAAGATCCGAGAGGAAAAAACACATCAAGACAACAAAGCAAGGTCAATACATACATACAGACAGACATATATATATATATGTGTGTATGTATTTGTGTGTATATAAATTTATATAGTTTTGAGAAGGAATGAAATAAACCTCGAGATTTGTTCCCATAAGGGAGCTTTAAGATTTGAGTCACGAAAAGCCAACTCCATCTCCGAGCGTATCCTCAAGAGGGCCAAAGTCTCTGACCGAGGCCACCGGTTTCCTCCGCCGCCTACGGTGGCTCTCTCGCCGGAATCCTCCAACTTCACATCCTTCTCTTCCCCTCCGGCGGAGGCTGCCACAGCGGAGCTCTCTAGCACTTCGCCGGAATCCCCCAACATATATACATGTACATGCCAATTTCGATTCAAGCGTTCGATAAACACAAAGAAGGATGAAAAGAGATGTGAGGTTGAATTTCTCCCCTCTTTTTTCTTCTACTGTGGTTTTATCTTGGGGGTATTTAATCGGATGGGACGGTTCGTTTATCTATCTATAAATATAATATATGTGTATGTACATATCATATATATATCATATAAATACTTTTTATTTAAAAAAATAAATAAAAATGGAGATTTTTTTTTTCCTGACTTTGTGTCTACTTTTTAATTTGGGAATCTTCACATGCATGGCATATAAGTAAGAAATATTTGTGAGGCTGTGATTAAAAAAAAAATTTGTTGTGACGCTTACGCATTAATAGGGAAAAAGGAAATATAATAGTCCCAAAAAGAATATGATATTATTAATAATTTCTCAAATTAGTTTTGCTAGCTATAACTCGTCTTCTTCTTTTTTTTTGGGGGGTAGAAACCAATTTTCTAATATATTTTTTTTGTCACCATATAATATACATATGTGTGTGTGTATATATATATATATATTGTGTATCTAAAGAATCACAGAATAAAATATCATATGAGCTGTGGAGAAGCCTAAGAATATTAGAATAAAATTTAAATGATTGGCATCATTATGTAGGCTTTTCATAAAAAAAAATGATTAAAAGGGGTAGAAAATCAAATATAATCAACAAGAACAGCTGCAGATATACGTTACGGTGCTCGGGGCCATGTGGGGTCCATATCTTTGGTATTTTCAAATTAAATTGTAAATGTCACATTTGGCTAATAAACATCCGAGTGTCGATTTACCTTTGTAACCCTAACGTGAAGGCATTGACCTCTCTAATCATGCAAAAAAAGCTCATCACTAATCACACATGCATTATTATTATTCCTTTCTTAACCCTAACGCACACGTCTTTGTAATCAACCCTTATCTCATGTTGGTTGCCTTGTTTCATGTCACATTTATAAATTATATCCCCAAAATGCCCTCCACTATATATATATATATATATATGAACATGTTCTTTTGCCTACTTTACGTATATATATATTTTTTGGGATTTACAGTCCGATCGCTTTACATTTGGGTTTGCTAGCATAATGCCCCGAACATATAAAAAAAATGAAATTTATTTATAATCCGTATTGAAGACCGTATATCATATAAAAAAGTGTTGAAGGGCATATATATATGAACGAGTGATTATTAGAAAACAGTATCATATATATGCAATGTATCATGTATGCCTATGTACGTATGCATAACAGAGTAATTGGGCATTTACACCTCTAACCGTTTATGTATTTCGGCACCTAATTCTAATTAAAATGAAGAAACGGTCGAAAAATAAAATCTTGAAAACTGTAAGTACACGTATATAGTAGTGAATAGTGGTATGAAAAAAATTCAGAACGAATTGTTAATATATGGTTGGAGTTTCGGTATGTGACGTCGATGAATAATGATGTTGAATTACACTCGGTGATTAGAGAAATGTCAAAGTTATAATTTGTTATTAGGCGGATGTTGTCAAGCATTTATGAGATAAAGCTAGTAGTGACTTAATCTGGTTAGCTCGTGACCTACCATATTAAATGATATTGAAAAATCCCGGTGGATACTAATAATGTTATTTATTTTCACTTAAATAATTGTTTCTTAGCCAAACAAAATAAATAATTTCGATTTTATTTTATTCGAAAGCTAACCGGTGGTTTCTGAACATATCATGTCAATGAAGATTAACCTGTCTATACACTGTAGCCCGCATATGTAGACGTACCATTAATATAATATATTTTTTCATTATTGATGCAATTATATATGTATATTTACATACGAAATATTCCCTCTATTTTAATGATATAATAAATAATTTCAAGTTAAAAATTAATCTAATTAAATTTATATATGTTTTTAAATAATTCATTTAACTGGTTTTAATATGGGTTACGTGGCATTCAATAAACTGATTAATTCGAACTCGAGTTGAATTTACTTGGTCTAATTTTTACGGCTTGATTGTATTAATTATTAAAAAAGCTTCCATGTCATTAATGAGGATTGTAACAGTTATATTATTTATTTTATGTTTCACATTTTCTGTACGGATTGTGAACATTTTTCATGTTTTTTTTTTTTAAATTACGACATTGAGGATGCCAACAAGTAAAGGTGTTTCCGAACCAATGTGTTCGTACATTTTTACAACTGTTAAACTTTTTTTTTTTTAAAAAAAACGAATCTAACCAGCCCAATGAAACCCATTGATTTATAATCGTGAGATCCATGTATATAAACAGAATCAAAATCACATTTTAGATATGCCAATAAGTAAAAACAAAATCACATTTTAGTTGTGTCTCTTCCGATCTGTGTCTATGTTTTTTTATTTCTTAAACATCAAAGTTGTAACAAAATAATGTAGGAAAATGGACAATCTCACTCTTAGTTTGTTTTTTGTCTTGAGAGACCAAACTCGTCTTCCCCCCCCCCTTTTTTCCGCTTGTGATATTGTTTTTTCTCCTATTTTTTGCTCTATTCATATAATATATATATATATATATATATTTATAATATATATGATAATATAATATAATATAATATATATTATATTAAAAAGCGCTTGTTATGATTGGATGGATTCAGATGCATTGCCACTAAGGCACTACTTATGGCTCTGTAAAGCGAAGCCCACGAAGCCCACTTGACCCCTTTATACGTATGTATGCATGCACGTAGACAGACAGTATGTGCATATACACATGATGTGTGCGTCTTTGTACAGTAGAGTGAAGGCTACGATCCCTCGAATGTCCACGTGCATGTACATGGACAAATGTATATATGATGCGTGTGATATATACACACACACGCGTGTGTGTGTGTGTTGGATTCTATTTTCACCATATACACAAAAATATGTGTGTTGCAAGATTATCGTATTCAACTTGCGAAACCCAAATTGATACGATGTTTTTTTAAGGGAGTATAATTTAGAGTGGTGAAGAGCCTAAGCTGACGTGTCACATAATAGCTGCGCCATCTGACTTAATCAGATATCTGCCACATAGGATTCTGTCAGCTGTCCACGTGGACCGTTGTGCGTTTCTTTTTACCTACATGCCATGTGAACTTTGATGGCATCTTCTCGAAATATTGAAAATACTTTATTCCGGTGCCCTCAAAAGACATTATTATTATTAAATAATATTCGGTTGGATTTATTTTATATATTTGAACTCGCGAATAGGTTCATAATATTTGTCTTATAAAAATCCGTTTAGATTAACTATTTTAAATTCGATTAAAAGACGAGATAGACTGCCGAATTCGAAATTAATGAGCTCGAGTTGGTCCGAATCGAGCCCATTTTGTACATCCCTTCGTAAAATAATAACCGGTTCGAATTTTAATTTAAATGATTTGGACTTTCACGAAAGTTGGACGGAATCGAATCCTTTTGGGGAACTCGGATACGTCCGAACCCATCAAATGGTCCGTATTTATAGTTGAAGCCCAATACAAGTTGTTCATAAAACCCATCAATTCTTTATTTGCAACTTGTTTTGTAAATTTTTAGAATATTCGTGAAATTTTATTACAATAAATTATGGAAGACAACTTCGAGGGTTTCTAGTTTATTATTTTTAAATTTTTTTACCGTCTTACAATCTCTATATATATTCCACATAATTTTGTAAAGAGACAAAACGCGAAGGGGTCAGCTTGCATTTCCCTATTAAAAGAGGTGAACCATCGAAGGCTTTATCGGTTGCTTCCGTCAAGAATTTCCCATTTATCGCCGCCGTGAATCAGCCGCCGGCGGGACAGTCCGATCGAGACAAGATCATATATTGCGGTTCGGGAAAGTGGAGAAGGGCATGTTCACAATGGATTTCAAGAATCCTTTGTCTGCTTTTCAGGCTTTCGCTATGTGTTTGAGCAGTTCGATACCAAACTTGCTTTCGAGTGATCCGATCTGTCACTGAAAGCTTGATCGGAAAACATTTTCCCGCGAGATTCTGTGGAACATGGCTTTGGATAAGTTTATGTTCCTGCATCTCGGGAACCTTTTCAGCTTCAGAGACTCTTGTCTTAGTGCCCTTTTTGTTTTTGCCCTTTGGGATTTCGGGTTAAGATTTGATTTATGAAGGGTTATTGATGTAATTTGTAATTTCAGTTGTTTTTCGAATTTTTTTTTTCAAGAAATCCATAAACGCATAAATTGTATATAAAATTAGGGGTGTCAATCGGAGCGGTCCGGCCGATCTGACCCGGTCCGAGTCTGCACTCGGTATAAAGATTTCGGGTTCGGGTCAGATTTTTTCAGGCCAATGTCCAATCCTATATATTTCGGATTCAAATCGGGTCGGACCGGACCGGTCCACATAATTCTCTTTGTAAATCTTATTTTTTTTTCTTTTTTTTTCTTTTTTTAAAATATTGGGTTTTCAGATTAGGAAATTTATATCCAAAGCCCACTAATTTTCGGACCGTATGGATCGGAATTCGGATCTCAAACCTAAATTGACACCGTTATATAAAATATGTTCGGCATTGGACTTGGACAATATGTGATGATCATAGAATTTAATTCCCAAAGTTTAATGTTATATGAATAATGGAAATGTTTACATATGATATGCAATATATGTTATTCTGCATAAACAGAAAAAATAAAGATTGTAAATTTCTTATAATTTGAGGTTTCCCACACTAGTTTAGTTCTACATATAAATACGCCAAATAATTTTGCTTAGCCTAACTTTTTCACGCAGTTTTTTTTATTAGGGAAATCAATTATATAGCGATTTAATCATTGGTATTCATGATGTCTCTCGAATTCGAACTATGATTATTATATAACGATTAGAAAACATTTCTTATATCAAATTCATACAAGGGTGTATATTAGATAATATCTATGAAAATCGACCGGTCGATCTTGATAACAAAAAGAAAAGAACGTTCCATAGAGCAAACAAAAGCTCATTAACACATTTTTTAAACCAAAAATAAGAATTCTATTATACATAGAAAACAGAAGCATAAACATATAAATGACAGACAACGAGAAGTGAGCACACACTGCTCGCCCTTTGAGCAGACCGGAGACGACAAGCATTCCTTGTCGGAG